TCTGTATCTGTCTGGATGTACGGTTATAATCTTCAATCTGTACATAGAGTCTAGTCAAAGTCCAGACGTCTCCAACCCATCTGAGCCCAGAGGACCTGCAGCCAGAGTTCTGAAGGTTCTGCTTCTATGTCGGTCGCTCGTTTGTTGATGGACCAGAAAACGATGCAAAGTGTTTGTGGTCCAGAACCAGTTGTTGGACGCGGCGGGTCCGGTTCTTCCTCAGTGGACCTACCTGCCGCCTGCCGGCTCTCTGGAACAGTTAAGAAGTTGAAGACGGAGAACTTGTCTCTCTTCACCTTGGGCAGACCCACCAACGACGACCTGAAGGACCAATCAGAGGCAGAGTTAGCCGTCACGTTGGGACACGGGGCTTTGTTCTGGTCCGGTTCGGTTCGTACCCAGGGTAAGGGTCCGGAACGTTGAACCTCTTGCACAGCAGTCTGTCAGGATGCCACTCCAACGTCTCTCTGGTCAGTTTTCCAAACATCTTCATCTTGACGGCTTCCTGCTTATCATCCTCGTCGCCCTGGCAACCAAACAACAAGCTCAGACTTCCCAGGAGAAGAGGGGGAGCGTCCCCGAGCAGAACACATCTGGGTGTCCTACCTCCTGGTCCAGGTGGACCTCCACCGTGTCGTCGTCCTCCTGGTGCTTGGCGCTAGTGAAGCGAGACGACAGCGAGGAAGAGGACGGTCGGTACAAGATGGATGCTCGGACGAACTCCTCGCGCTCCCTGCTGCGCTCCCACTCAGTCATGGTCGGGTCCAGACTTTGCTCCAGGGCATCTAAGGGACAGAAGAACCTCTTTAGACGGGTTCTGGCCCACTGGGCCCACTGGTTCTGGCCCAGTGGGCCTGAAATGACCAGTTTGATGGTCGTTTCTGCTCATGAAGGAAGCAGGAAATGATCGAGATTAACCGGTTAAACCTGAAGATCCACAGGAACAACATTAAGACGGGCCGAGACCGTTCATCCGATTTAATCGAATATTTACCCGCCTGAGCCCGGCGGACCCGGCGCAGGGCCCAGCTGACACCGGCTCATGGCCAAAACACAGTCACATGGTGTTTTCATATGGAGGATAAAAAGTGCCAAAATTAAATAAATAAATACAGCATTAAATAAATAATTAAATGTGTCAATAATTAATTAAATGTGGAATTAAATAAATAAATGTGTCATTCATTAATTAAAACCACGTCACTAATATAAAGTGCCACAATTAAATAAATAAATACAGTGATAAACAATGAATTAAATGTGTAATTCATTAAATAAATACAGAATTAAATATATAAATGTGTCATTAATTTAATTAAATACGTCTTCATTTTATCAAAAAAATATATAATTATTTCAGTGCATTGAAGCCATTCAAAGAATCTGTCAAACTCACCCATCAAAGTTAGGGGGCGGTTCTCTAACACCTGATTGGTCACCCTGCACATTAAGGCGGAGCAAATCGATTACAGAGACTCGATTCACGTTAGCCCCGCCCCCTAACTTTGATGGGTGAGTTTGACAGATTCTTTTAATGGTTTCGATGCACTGAAATAATTATATATATATTTTAATAAAATGAAGACGAATTTTATTAAATTAATGACACATTTATATATTTAATTCCGTATTTATTTAATGAATTACACATTTAATTATTTGTTTATCGCTGTATTTATTTATTTAATTGCGGCACTTTATATTAGTGACGTGGTTTTAATTAATGAATGACACATTTATTTATTTAATTCCACATTTAATTAATTATTGACACATTTAATTATTTATTTAATGCTGTATTTATTTATTTAATTTTGGCACTTTTTATCCTCCACACGCCTTTCAAATGGGGCTTTAAAATTTCTAAATCATGTTTTAAAATAATTTTTTCACAAGTACCTTTTGTTTTATAGCTGGGTTAACAAATAAACAAAATAAGATTTAAAATTCCACCTGACATGTGCGACTCTGTGTGGCATCAGCAGGTATTAATTTTTAGCCCCGCCTCCTAATGGCCGCCATCATTGGAGGTAATTGCTCTGTTGCTCTTATTTTCTATTCAGTTTGGTGATTTTATCGGTAAATTTCAAATGAACAAACGGCTAAATCTGAGGAGCAAAGGCTTTGCCTCATGCAGAAGGTCTCCAATGATGGAAATCAGCATATTTATCTGACCAGATTCTCCTTTATGAGAGGAAAAAATGCATTTTTGTACATTTGGCATTGTGCTAAAATCCCATTTCCTGCCAGCTCACTGCCAGCTAAAAGCTTTGTGGAACAAACATGCTTCATCATATTCGGTCCAAATGTGTTTGAGTTCTAGTCCAGATGTGGATCTATGGAGTCTGAGCTTCATCCAGAGTTTAAAACAGGCTTTCATGGTATTTTGCAGTTTTTATCTTGGAAAAAAACATTTTTTTTTGTTTTTTCTTTGTTTAATCTCCTATAAATCAGACATGCTGACATTTAAAATAGTGGTTCCACCTGAAAACTATCCCTCAAAGCCTTTATGTCACACAAATACAAACAATTGTATTTCCGATTTATTGTTTGGGAGCTGTACTTGCTTAAATTCACATCTGGAATTTCAGGCAGAATTTGCTCCTAAGCGCCTCGGTGCTTAAAGGGTTAAATAATCTTCAAATCATTTAGAAGTCGATTAATTGTTAACTGGAGTTTAGAGATTTTAAAACATGCCTTTAGCTGACAGAGCGACCTTAGAGCAGTAATTATACCAAATTTGTAAAACAAAATATGTAAAGATTTTTATTTAGGATAAAAATATTTTTCTTCTCTCATATTTTCTATCCAGAACGTCTGAAGTGGAAAAGTTTTAGCTTCACCAGGTTTAATTTCACAAAAAGTCTTCTTTAAGGAACCTTTGGCTATCTGATTATTAATCGATTAATTTAAAAAGTAATCAATCGTTTAATCGATGTGTTAAATCTAGTTAGTTGTAGCCCTGGTTCAGACCTTCAGTTGGATTCTAGGTGAAGCGGTTCCTGGTTTCTGTGGGGCGTCTCCTACCTTTGTCTCCGTCACGGAGGCGGCTCAGGTACAGCTCGTAGCGCGCCTGCTTGCTGGGGGTTTTCTCAAAAGGTTTGAAGCTCTGTGAGGAGGAGGAGCCTCTCCACGCCGCTAGAGCCTCCTGCTCCCGGAGGGCGGATGGCGTCGGAAGCGGTCCGGCCGGAGTGGGCAGGGGGGGGTCGGGCGTGGAGGGCTTCTGGGCCGAGGAGTTTCGAAGGCTGAGCAGGCGCTGTCGGTCCTCAGGTCTCAGCAGATCCAAGACTGAACTGGGACCTGATCCGGGTCAGAACCAGGAAGCAGATGAAGGAATCAGGAATTAAGCCACAATAATTACCGTAATTCACCGACTAAAGGAGCAAAGACAATCAACTTTATTGGTCCCTGCAAATCTACATTACAATGAGGCTGAAGTCCTCCTTCAGGGAACAGTGAGGCAGAAATGTTTAGAGAGGTTTTCAGTGGGTACTGACCCGCTGTGTGGATCTAGATAGATAGGAATAGATCTAGGACCCCGTGTCTAATCAGGAAGGCTGTAGGGGGTGTGGCCAAAAACCCACTAATAATCAGTAACTCTGTGCTTCTGATGGAGGAAGAGGATTGATTTGTTAGCATCTGGTTGCATAAACGCTGCTTCTTTTAGTGGGTTTTGCTAAATAGATTTATTCCCGGTTTGGGGCCAACCTTCAATATTTAAAATTCCAGTTTTATTTTAGATTTATGTTGGGAAAACATTCAAGTGTTTTCATCATTTCTTTACAATTAATTAATCACATAAATTCTAGAATTGTGTTAATAAAGATGGCTGCATGTTGAAGTAGCTCTGCTAACTTAAAGTCGTAGGGAAATCAAATTTAGATGTCAAATCATTCTGGCTTAAACATGGATACATGGGCAGCTCTAGACAGGGGCCAACGGGGGCCAGTGCCCCTCTAGAACATGTCCTGGCCCCCGTTATGGCCCCTGTACTGAAGACATCATGCTCAAAGAAACTCTAAAGATGATATGCGCTGGAACAGACATGGTTGCAAATTCTGTTTTACTAATTATTCAAAAACAGTGAGGTGATATCTGCAGTGGTGCTGCGATAGGATCCCAGTCTTCATCTGCTAAATGGTTGTTTTCAAAATGAAAAAAAAAAAAAATTTTACAGCTGAATTTATCAGTTTTTTCTTGAGTTCCAATTCAGATTTTATAAAAAAAAAAAACAACAACAACAAAAAAACGGTAATTAAGCAAAAAATAAAATTCCTGAATTCTGAATATATATTGACCTAATTAGTAATAGAAGTTTTATTAAACCAAGTTGAAGAGAAATTTCAGTTCATGCAGCTCTCTTTATATATCTGAACTGCTTGCCCTGTTTTTTTTTTATTTCATGCTTTTCTGGGCCCCCATGAAACACGCTGGCCCCCTGGTACATTTGGTCTAGAACCGCCACTGCATGGATAGAAATGTACTCTTTATTAATTTTTCTGTTATTGTATGAAATAATGTTCTGTTAGCTCTACGCCTGCCGAAGACACAGACGTCCATCCCCGT